AAAGGAGCCCCTGGCATGAGGTGGATAGGGAAACACTGGGGAGCCCCGACCTCCTCCTGTCTCCTCACTACACGTGCTAGTGAGGTGTCCTGGGACGTGATTTCCCTTCAAACACAAGCAGAGACCTCCATGCCTCAGGCAGAGACCAGGTTACCTACTCCTGTGTCTCAGACATAGACCACCAGCTCTCTCCCCACGCAGTTCTCCCGTCTTTACGCAGCACAGCCCCTTCCTCAGCCCCCTCTGGAAGTACTCTCATGGAAACAGGAGAGAAATGCCTTTTCCTGGGCACAAAGCTGTGCCGTGCCCTCTGCAAACGCTCCTGACCACCTGTCAAAGCAGAAGGGGACTTGCCCAGGGGCTCTGCGTGGAAACTGGAGATGCGAGCAGAGGGCAGCAGCTGCAGCACAGCTCACTGTGACTTCTGCCAGCAACGAGGGTGCCATCTGGGCTACCTTCTCCCTAACTCCCCCTGGGCTCTGGGCTCAAACCCCTTTGCTCATTCCGAGAGCCTCTCAAGGGAAGCCAGTCACTCGAGAAGGACAGCTCAGGCCTTTCCCAGAAGACCAAGACCCTCCTGCGGCCGGTCTGCTGCACTGTGCTGCTTGGAGCCACAGCTGTCCCCCACCGTGCTCCGCTCCGCGATACGAGGCTTTGTGCACAGCGACTTGCAGGAACTTTGCTGTGTGAAAGAACAGAGACAGCATCAAACTTGGTGTCAGGGTCCAACTGGGACCAGGCCTGGAGAGATACCAATGACACAGCCACAGCTGGAACCCCCAAGGCCTTCAACACCCATTTCTCCTCCTGATTGTTTCTACTGCTCCAGCAAAACCTGCCTTCTCCTGGGGCATGTGTTGTTTGACCCCAACTCAAAGAGCACGCCAGCCATGGAAACTCTCCCAGCACGTTTCAGTAACGCTGGTAAAATTGTGCATGTGGCTGCAGAGCTCTGGCTGCTTCTGTCCATTTCCCAGGCAACACACATTTGTGTACAGGCACTCGACATATGCACGTGTGTATGTTTTACGTACAACTTCTTTCTAACCTGTCCTTGCTAGAGCCTCAAAGCACCGTAATTAGCTCTGCCACAGCTCCAGAGGGATGCAGAGCCAGCCTAATGCCATGAAAACCACGTCAAAAGCAGCGGTCAATAAACAGGGAGATGATACGGCGCACTGGTGTTAGTGCTGCAAGGGGCAAGCCCTGCTCTGCCCAGCTGACAACACGTGGACACCGCAGTGGTGAGGGAAGAGAAGGAACAAAAAGAATTCTTTGTGCTAGAGGATACTGTGCTAAAATCAAAAGAAGAGCGAGGCAGGAATGGACCAGTATGTGCCAAGAGCAGTTTGAGACATTAAGCCTCGAACGGGTAAATACTGAGAGACTGTATGCAACGTTAGGACAAGGCTGATGTTCACTCACCACTGAGAGCGAGCTGAACTAGAAACACATCCCATTTTTTGGTCATACATGCTCTGGTATCACAAATACTAACTCAAGCAAGCCCCAAGTAAGATTATTTCTCCAAGTTCTCCATCTTCTCAGGAAGAGAATCAAAAGCCCACTCAGCCAAAGAGCAAGAGAGCATATTAGGTCTGACATGGGCAGGAGGAACTGGAGGCAACAGGAAGCACGGAATGGGTGTGCCGTTTGGCTGCGGTATGAACGATCCTAACAGAGTGTCTTTGCTTTCAATACAGCGCAGATCATCTCACATAGCTTTCTCCGGGCAGATGCAGAGAAATCCTTACCAGGTTATCCAGGAAAAGTCAGGTAGCTACTGCAATGAGGAAAAAAAAGGCAATTAAGGAGATTTCTCCTGCTGCACGAGCCTGAAATTAGATTTCAGATCAAATCAGTTCCTTGCCTCTAGGGTAGGCATAAAGCTGAGGAGAAGGACTGGTGAAACGCAGTCTGCTCCTAAGCAGCTGGCATGAACAAGGAACTGGGGGCTTATGGAGAGCGTCCTGTGCTGATTCTGGGGAGCAAAGTTCTGTAACCTCTGTGGCTGGCTGGGGGAGGCCGTCCCAGCACAGAGGGGTCACGAGAACAAAGTCTGACTTACCGGGATTTTGTTCGGATGCTGCTCTCGGATCTGCTGTACTTCTTTACAACGATCCGCTGGAAAGAAAGAAGTAAAGAAACCAGTTAGAAACACCTGGCTGTGCTGGTTGAGGCAAAAAGGAGGTAACGACCCCGCAAGCCACAAACTGACAAAGAGGGGCACTGCGAAAGCAACGCGGGCCTTTTCTGAACGTTCTGCAGCCGTGAGATGGTCAGCCAGATGTCAGCTTCAGTGGTAACCCTTCCTGGCTTCCCACCGCCCCATCACCCCCCAGGGCAGGGACAGGTTACCCTTCCTGGCAAAACTGGGAAACACACTTCCAAATGACTTACACGAGACCATAAGGATGACAAAACTGTGTTCCTAAACCTACTTTAAGCAAACGTAGCTCACGACCACCAGTGTCGGGCAGCAGCAGAGCTGTAGGGTTTCAGCCTCTCTGTCTCCTGGCTGCTTCCCCAAGGAGATGATTCTCCAAGTGGGGCTGGGTTTTAGCCATTTCCTTCTGCCCGCTGCGCGCTTCCAAGCGCTCTCTGGCACAGTGCTCAGCCCAAAGGCGGTGCGCCTTGCCAAGGAGGGCTCCGTCAGTATCACAGGTCGACACAGTAGCTACAACAGCTATTGGCCTGACAAAGTATTTCTAAACCTCAGGAAGGTGGAAACAGGAAGAAAAACTTAACCAAGGAGACGACTCACGTACTAAATGATTTTTTTCTGCAGCTGTTCTCACGCTTTCTAACCCATTTTCCTCCAGAGTTCATGTTCAATGACACATGCAACAGGCAGCATGTAAAAGCTTGTGTGCTCTTCAGGCTTACTGGAGAGATTCAATGCCCCATCACCACTTTACCAGAGGACCTTCCACAGTTCAGAGGGGCAGAACTTGTACCAGGGCCACACTTGTACAGGAGCAACGTGTGCGTGTGCTCCTCCTGGGACACTACGGACCTACGCTCCTCCTTGTATGACCACTACTCTGCAACAGCCCATCTGAAGTGTCCGGGGAAGCAGCTTCCTGGATCACAGTAGGTAAGCTGGGAAGTGAAGGCCAACGACTAAGGACTGCCTAGGAACGCAAGATCTGGGCATCGCGGGATCCGCCACGGGACCACCCCGCGCACAGGCGCCTGTGCAGCACCTCTCCAACCCCAACTCCCCTCACCTGCTTCACGCGGCCCCCGTTTCTCACAACCCACCACCATCATGGGCAGGACAAGTGTTTGAGGGTGTTTTCATCCCCCCAAACGCTGAGCATTGCTCCCCCAACCACTCAATAAAACCTTATCGCTCATTAACTGAATTTGGCTAGATACTACTTAGGGAAGAGACTGGAGTTTCTTTAGAGGCCACAAGACTACAAAATCACTAGATTACCGAAGCTTTTGGGCACCATTTCTGTCTCCTCTGAGAGGAAAATAGCCCTTTGCAAGGAATTGCTGGACCTTTCTTCTGTAGGACTCCATGGGCTAGCAAGACAGAGCAAGATCGTTTGGATTTAATGGAAAATTTGGGCATATTTATTTTGGGTTTCATGACTGCAGATGCAGTTCCTCAGCAGTACAGATTTAATAATTCATCTGATGCATAAATTTGACATTTTAGGTCTCCCCCAGAGAGTGTAGCTTTTCCACAAAATTAAAACATTATTTATTTCAAACCAGTGAAAATCCACTTCTGCTTAACATGAGCCCAGCTCTTCAGGAGCAGCCTCCCACGTTCACAGGGTGTGTAAGCCAGGTACCACGAGCTGGCTCTAAAGATCGAATCATAGCTCTGATGCAGACATTTCGCCAAAGTCTTGCAAAAGTCTTCTTGCAAAGTCTTGGTGGACTTGGTAGTGCTACGAATGCTGGACTCGATCTTAAGGGTCTTTCCAACCTAAATGACTCTATGATTCGATGTTTCCTTTTCACCCTACCCAATGCTCCAGGGCACCCAGTTATCCTTGTGAAACACGACAATTTTCCCTGAGGTCCCACTCAGCAGAGAGTCACGCAGAACTCAGCGCCGCACGTGATGCTGGTGCAGCAATGCCTCTTCAGGAACGCTGAAGGACACGGTGACGAGAAGCACCTGGCACACGCAAGCACCCAAGGCACAGCACCCAGCCCGAGCAGGCAGCCAGGAGCGCGTGCCCCGGTTCTGCAGAGCCCCGCTCCCGCGTGTTCGCTGTGTGCAACCTTCCCAGGACAGAGCATCCGAAAGGCTGGAGATCCGGAGCAGGAGCGGACAACACTCATCGGCGTAAACCCTTCAGGCAGCTTGACTGCCATCAGCTCAGACTTGCTGGGCACTAACAGAGCCTGCAGAAGCCGTGTGTCCTCACAGCTAGCTAGTTTTTCCAGCTTCAGTATCCACCCTATCCTGCATCTCTCCATACTACCAGATGGCCACGTGGATGAACTTCCTAGACATCCTGCGTTTCCCTGTAGGGGCACAGAACTGTGTGCACAGGAAGCCCCAACAACGCAGGTAATTAGGAGAAGCAATTTGCCGAAGGCAAATTTGCAGCCTTTGCGTGTTACAATGGCTCCTAACGTAGACAATCTCAGAGCACCCAACCAGTCCGGGCTGCGCGTGCCAAAGGACAGTCACACGCTGACACCCCTTCCTGCTCCCTGGAAGCACCACCAACTCCAGCCCAACGCTGGCAGCCAACACCACCTTCGCCTCCCCAGAGGAGTCAGAAAGGCCAACTGCCCACCCCACTGAAAAAGATGCCACACAGCGAATAAAATGGTACGTCATCCATCCAGCTACACGTCAGTCTGAGGGTTCCATCCGTTGTCCCCCGCGGGGCGCAGACTGCAGGAGCCTCAGACACAGGCAGGGCCGGCGGCGGCTCAGCACCGCGCGC